AATCGCTTTTAAATGTGCTTTATAAATAAAACTTGATTTGATATCTTCTACAGTTTACTCATATTAATTAATATTATTTCTACACAGTGTCATTAACGCTCCATAATGTATTCATATTTATACTGCTGCCTGTGGTGTATATATTAAACTCTCTATTTTAATACCTACTCTATAGTGTATGCAACTTATGTGAATAAGATTATTAAACACCCGCACTTTTGAAAGAACATCCATAACATTCATCTGTCTGCATCCTGCTAATTATTTATCTGATGTATCATATTCCATTTACTTGTATATAGACTCTTCTTGCACTGTTTCTATTTCATTCGTATTTACTTACACATCTCAAAACATTCTCTTGCACTATTTAATTAGTTTTATTTGTTTTATGTCCTATATATATTCATGTTGCTCTGTTGGAGGAAGCTGTGACTTCAGTTTGTACATTACCATATCTACACTGTGTGTGTCTGTGTGTGTGTGTGTGTGTGTGTGTGTGTGTGTGTGTGTGTGTGTGTGTGTGTGTGTGTGTGTGTGTGTGTGTGTGTGTGTGTGTGTGTGTGTGTGTGTGTTTTCTCAGGTCCGGTAGAGGCGTCTGTTCGGGCCAAATGCAGCCCATGTGTGTCCTCTCCTTGCCAGAACCAGGGTGTGTGTCAAGTCAACGAAACTGAGCTGTACACCTGCACCTGCAAATCTGGCTTCACGGTATGTGTGTGTGTGTGTGTGTGTGTGTGTGTGTGTGTGTGTCCAGTCTGAGTGCTTGCCCCCTTTAAGTACCACGCAATCAAATGACAAACCCAGAGCTGAGCGTTTAGAAACACTAATCCAATCTGTGATGTGTGTTTGCGTGTTGTCTCTGATTATTTGGTAGCAGTGTCTGATGATAATCCCATCAAATGACTCTGAGCTGACCTGATCTGATTAGGACGGAAGCTCTATATTAAATGTGTGTATCTGTGCGTGATATTTCAGGGTAAACACTGTGAGACCCCGGTGGACGCGTGTGTCAGTAACCCCTGCACCAACGCAGGACTCTGCATCAGTGACGAACAAACCCGAGGCTTCAGGTAACCAGTCCTAACAACAACAAAAAACGTTTTCAGGACATTTAAATGATTACATCCCATATTTGTATCTGTTTTCTTCTCATTTTGTATATTCTTCCTCGTAGTATTGTACCCATGGCTGTAGGAATGCCAGTGTTTCACGTTATTTATTGTAATATGCACAACACCTTGTTTGCAAATGAAAGTCTTAGACCTCAGGGTCCCTCTAACAATGATCATTAAATACGTAAATAATGCAATTGCCGCTAATTCAATTGAATTCATACTGTATTCATCCCTCAAGGGCGATTCAAGCAGTGTAAGCCATGTAAGGATACACTATAACACAGATACATACAACAGAAGGGCACACAGAGAGCACAGGCCTCTGTAAAAGCCGTGATGATTAGTGGAATGTAATGTGTCGCCCCGAATTCATGCTGCATCTCCTCAGCCAATGAGAAGAGGGCAAGATTTCACCTTAAATATGCTGACAAACAAACAGATTAGTTCTGTGTTAATTAGTGTTTGTTTGTTAGCTGCTGATCTTACATGCTTGTTTGTGTATCTGTTATTATTTAGCTGTGCGTGTGCCTTCGGTTTCCATGGCACGTTCTGCGAGGTGAACGTGGACGACTGCGAGGACCACGGCTGCGAGAGCGACGCCACCTGTGTGGACGGAGTCGGAAACTACACCTGCGTGTGTCCGCCAAACTACACCGGTCAGGAAATGCTCAAATGCTAACTTACTTCCAGGTTTTAGGACTCATTCCTGCACCGCTACGTTTGGTTTGAAGTTACACACTCTCACTTCTCTCATTCTCAGGTCTGTTTTGTGAGGAACTGGAGGACGTTTGTTCTCCAGGTAGAAACCCCTGTCAGCATCAGTCCACCTGCGTCAGCACTCTGACCGGCACCAGGTGACCACACACACACACACACACACACACACACACACACACACACACACACACACACACACACACACACACACACACACACACACACACACACACACACACACACACACACACACACACACACACACATGCCTGGCTCAGCAAAGTTACAGATCCCGGATGAGAATACAAAAATATAAACTCAGACACATACAGTTTTGCTGAGGTGGGTGTTGATTCCCTGAAGTCCTGCCCCACGGTTCATGAAGTATATTTGTGTGTGTGTGTGTTTGCTGCAGGTGTGTGTGTATTCCAGGCTGGGTGGGGCCAAACTGCAGTATAGATTATAATGAGTGTGTGGACCATCGCTGTCAGAACGGCGCTCAGTGTGTGGACCATCTGGACGGATACAGCTGCGTCTGCCCGCAGGGATTCAGGTACTGGGAACACTGGGAGTAACGGGGACACTGTGACGCTGCAGGAAGTCAGGAAATACTGGAAATTACAAGCGATTAGAAACATGAATCCACATAATGTACACATAAGGAATCTACATACATTTAGTCATACAGTTATTTGATAGCAAGGTAATAGAACATTCATTTTAAGGAAAGAATCAGAATCAGGATTCCTTTATTAGTAGTTCATGTATTCCTTTCATTCAAATGTAAGAGTCAGAATTTTGAGAAAAATACAGAATTTTGAGATTTGTAGAAAAAGTCCAAATTGTGAGATTTGGAGAAAAAGTCAGAATTTAGAGAAAAAGTCAGAATTGAGAGATTTGGAGAAAAAGTCAGAATTTTTTTAGAATTTGAGAAAAAGTCAGAATTTTGAAAATTTGAGAAAAAGTCAGAATTTTGAGAATTTGAGAAAAAGTCCGAATTTTGAGAAAAAGTCCGAATTTTGAGAAAAAGTCATACAGTTATTTGACAACGAGGTAAAAGAAAATTCATTTTAAGGAAGTAATCAGAATCAGGATTCCTTTATTAGTAGTTCATGTATTCCTTTCATTCAAATGTACTTTATTACTAACTAATGTAGTCAAAACAATACTTTAAATAATGTTGAATTAAGATATTTGGCTTTTCATAATAACGTAAAAAGAATTACTAAATTACATAACCTGTTATAATTGCATGTATTTTCAAGGCAATTCAAAGTGCTTTACAAAAAAACATTAAAGTCATCCTGACTGAAACATTACAGTTAAACACATTTCAAACTGTCATCACAAAGATAAGATAATACGTGGCAAAAAGGAACATCTTGAGATTTAAAAAAGTGAGTCTTTCCAAAGTGTAACAATCATCAAGCAGCTCAGAGAGTAAGAAAAGGAGAGTCATGCAGAAAGTTTCTTATCAACATCTGAAATATAATCTCCCCTCCCTCTCAGTGGAGAGTTCTGTGAGGCTCTTCCCCCCCCGTCGCTCTGCCAGCTGTCGACGTGTCAGAACGGCGCCCCCTGTGTGCAGGAGGCGGGCGTCGCGGTGTGCGAGTGTCTGCCGGGCTTCGAGGGGGATCGCTGCCAGAAACTGGTCAGCGTGAACTTCGTGGATCGAGATTCATACGTTCAGCTGCAGGACGTCAAGAACTGGCCTCAAGCCAACATCACGCTGCAGGTGAGAGACGCTGGAGAAGATGCTCCACAGCTTCTGTTGGGGAAATACTGAATGTCCTGTTCCAATGTCAGAGGACACATGATTACAAAGGTATCCCAACTGCAGCTTCATGACAGGATGTGTGATTACCTAGAAGAGCATCAGGACTGTTTGAGGCATATGATAGCTATGTGATTAACATGATGACTCAGCCTCTATGGAGAGAGACATATGACAAGCATGATCATTTCTGACGTGGAGCTAATCTGAAGTAAACATTGAATACTGCTTTCTATTCCTCCATCTTGGGACTGTGAGGATTTTGAGAGAGAGTCAGAATTTTGAGATTTTGAGAAAAATTCAGGATTTTGAGATTTTGAGAAAAATTCAGAATTTTGAGAAAAAGTCAGAATTTTGAGAAAAAGTCAGAATTTTGAGAAAAAGTCAGAATTTGTTTTACAATATTTAGTCTTGTTATGCATCTTCAAAGCAAACATTTCCCAAATTGTACTTCTTATCTTATTTTAATCAAATACCGACAGCAGGAGACTCACACAAACACACGCATACACTCTGAATGTGTGTCTTTATTAATGTGTGTGTGTGTGTGTGTGTGTGTGTGTGTGTGTGTGTGTGTGTGTGTGTGTGTGTGTGTGT